AATATGAGAACCTTCGCAGAACGCCCAAAAGAAACCAAAACAATAAGAGTGATTGGGTGATTGGACCCTGATTGAGCATGACCTTAAGCAATCAGGTATAGAGGGGAACTTTGATCTATGGAAGGATTCTTCCATGCTAATAAATCAATCGATCCTGTTCACGTTGCTTTTTGGAAACGTAAGATTCCAAAGGAAGAAAAAGGGAGCTTTGCAGATATGATCAATGAGTTCCGTGGATTGTTAAAACCTGGACCTGTTGTTGTCTAACCTTGCTACATTAAACGGTACGCATGCAGGACACTCCATTTCACATAAATAACTAAAGGCTATTGTTGTATGTATTCGCCAGGATTCTCATGAGAGAATACTGACAATTTATACTCGGTAACTTCGTGGCAGTATTCGGAAATCCTATAATTCCAATATCGAGCAACTTTAGACAGAACATTTTTCATAGAATACGGTCGATGTGGTACATAACTGTACGTCCATTGTGCTAGTTGATGCTTTACAACGCACTCACACTATCTACATCTCTTCTTTAACCGTTACTAGTATACCAGCTGGGTGGTTTAGGGATGAGAAGTACGGGGTTAGAACATCCATAGCAGTTTAAAGAAGGGAGGAGTGAACCGCCTGTGCAGTGTATGATGTTACAGGATAGATGGCGCCACATCTCCAACGTTTGAACTATTTTTGTCAGTTATTGAACCTCTTTGAGCCATCCGCCCACAAGATTTTACCTTCTAGGAGGTTTTCGTTGAGATAGGATTGGACACTATGGTACCTTGTGCTGTCTACCAGCACTTGAAACTTACAGTTATCATCGTCATGATGAGGTGGGAGTAACTCGTGCAGCGACCGCACTGATCACTATATATTGCAATCAGTGAACTCTGTAATCAATAAGAGTTTAAAATTTGAACCTGTATTCTAAATGTGATCAAACCTTCCAGGGATGCTGCAGTGTATGCTCGATCTCAACGTTTTGTTAATCGGTTGAACCCACCAGATCTATCGGCTATCACTCTATCGAGGAAGGAATGCCAAAAAAGATAAAAAAAAAAAGAAGATAATACATATCTATATATCTCCCGCCGGCACATCTTGATTTTTAAGAAGGGGAACGAGCGGAACGAGCGGCAAAAATCCAATGAATAATATGCCTATCCCGAAAACATGAAAGAAAGAGACCAACCGGCCCTGGGGCGTATAAACAACGATGAAAGAAAAAGCGTGCTTGCGCTGAAACCACCACCTCATGTCGGAGTCACGGTAAGAATGGAATCGTTGAAGTATATCGAACGAGTCTGACAAGTTGACTTGCAAAAAAAAAAAAAAAAAAAAAAAAAAAAAAAGCCCACGGTACCTTCCCCGAAATCATGCGAAGGGTATGATCTGTGTATCTCCAGTATGTGACCCCGGAATTGTGTGTAGAATTATTAAAGTGAGTCTGTCCAAATTTAGGCATTTCAGTCACGGAATCCTTTCCTGTGCAAGCGATTAAAAACCTTTTTCTCATGCCAAATAGTCCATAGTGTTATTGCGATCCCCGCAATCCCAGCGTAGAATGTAATTATGTAGGAGGTGCGATAGCATTTCAATCCCTCACTACAATCGAGTTCCCCATTTGGCAACTCCACGGAATGGGAGTCGTATATGCGGCCGTACAGGAGGTTGAATATATTTCCCCATATTACTGGGGACATACACATCACTCCCCAGTTTTGAGATATGCCACCAACACCGAAGGTATGGGTGACAAGGGACGGGAAAACGCCAAACAGGAAGCCGTAGGCGAGTCCAGTTAGTCCCGAGATGGCGACGAGCAGGTGTGGATCCGAAATCATGAACCCGGCAAGCTGCGCCAAGCAGAAAACAACCGCCGATGTGAATACGCACCAGAATCGCGACATATGGAGGTTTTTTACAAGGATATCGGAGCCAATGCCTAAAAAGAAAACAACAATCTTACATTCGCACATGTCTTCCAGTATATGAAATAGAGGACGAGGTGTTGCTAAACATACCGCTCAAAAGGCGTCCCACGCAACTAAGTATCGATAAGACAGATACATACATCATCTGTTGTTTTTGGATGAATTCGGAATCCGCACTATCGTCATAGTGCTTCCACAGCGCTTTCGCCTGAGGTTATCATTGTTGTTAAAAAAAACCTTCAAATTTGGCGGTGAGAAGGGTGCCTTACGTTGTTCCCAATATTGCTTTGTTACATTAGCTTCAATTCCTGTCCTTTCTATGATACTAGGATGTTACTCACTTTATCGTCATCAATCCAATGCGCGTAAACAACCCTAGAAGTACAAACAGCTGCCAAAACTCCACAGTGGGAATCATCGACCAGCCACGAACATCTGCATATAGTGAGTCACGGCCAGGACTGACGGAGGCGTCTTCATCGCGAAACGAGTCCTCGGAGGTTCTTGGGGAAAGATGTCGACCAATTAATGAGGACGTTTCAGGCTCATCTAACTTGGGTGCAGCAGGTTTCGAACAGCCCGCAGATCCTGATGGAGCGTCTTCAAGTGTGTGAATTTGAGGTTTCATGTGCATACCTATTTCTGTAGAGTCTCTACACGACTGCCCCGCGAGCCTGGAATGTGC